ATGATACAAAATCCCAGCATGCACCATTTAAACTACCAATTAACATAGAATTTATTTAACAATCCATTTAGTATTTGTGACCTTTGCATAAATATGAACAGTGACGAAATATTACGAGGACCAAGGGTATAGCAATTGGAATGCTTCATATATTCCAGACAACAATTGAATTTAATGTGAATTAGAGCCAGGTTTGAGTTTGGAAACATGGAATTCATTGATACACAATATATGACACCTATATACTCATCAAAATGACTAATATGCTTCCCTTCAAAGTAACTTTTATCTACATTGTGGAATATCGTGAACCTATCACCCTCTTTTCCTGCCTCCACACATTTAATAATAAATGAAAGACCACAAATTATATATAACTTAAAAACTGTTCTTAAGTTTTATAATACAAATGTTCCTTTGTAGCAAAAATGTTATTCCATCTTGCTCATTTCAAACTTAGTTGTCATGATTTCTTCATCAGAATCAAGGAGACTTGGCAAAGCTCTGCAACGGAATAATAATATAATGGTTTAGTTGAGTTGAAATTTAAAATGATAGCTAAGTTAGGTACATATTTTGCAATACATACAACATCCATCCTGTCTTGATTGGACCCAAGACACACAACCGGTACACATGCATGCATGATCACTATGAAAACAAGCCATGCATGGCACAGTCCCAGTTAGTTATCAAATTTAAGCATTAATTAAAACAAAATGGCAACCAGTCGGCCATTTTTAATACATCTATATATCTATACCATGATGTAAAACGAATATATAAAATTTGAACATATTTAGTCAAAGCATATCAGAGATATGGCTCTAGAAGCATATTTATTTAAACAAAATGGCAGTCAGTCAGCCATTTCGATACGTTCTGAAAAATAAAATGACCTGCATCAGAAACCCAAAATCTCTAATGTATGTAGCAAGTTTGAACAAAATGCATCCATAAACGCAAGATCCAGTTCTGGAATGCCAGAAATGCTTGATTTTTGATGATTTTTTAGCACAAAAATTGCTGCCATTTGGCCATTTTGAATCAGATAGTCAACCCAATATATCTATGTCATGATGTATAATGAATATATAAAATTTGAACATAATCAGTCAAAGCTTGGCAGAGATATGGCACCAGAATTGCATTCATTAAAGAAAAATGGCTGCCAGTCAGCCATTTTAAATCAGATCTGAAAAATAAAATGACGTGCATCAAGGACCCATAATGTCCAATGTATGCACTAAGTTTAAACAGAATCTATTCATAATTGCTTGATTTTAAAGATTTTTTAACACAAATCAATCTTGAATCAGATCATGAAACAAAATGATGTGCATATGTATAATACTTTGTATGATGTATGTGTAAGTTTGAATGTGATTGGTCCAGGCATTTCTAAGATACAAGTCTGGATGTACACAGTCGCACGAATGTACTAAGGTCGAAAGATAAGTCCCCGTTTTCGGACTGCGTCCGAACAGATGCAAACTCAAACAAAATGTATATTTTTAATGTCTTCATGCAATATATTCTGAGTTATCTACTTTATTCTGGCCTGTGAATTAAAAGAATACATTTAAAAATTAGGGTTTGAAAATAAAATGGGTGCGCGAAATAATAGAGACCGCGAATTAATCGAGTTATTAGTCTTAGTTCTAATATAAGAAATAATACAAGACTTACGCATCTGCAATAGACTGTGGAATGTTTTCTTCTACCCATTTCAAATCTGCATCTGTCTTTTCTTGAGAATTCGACATTCTGTGCGAACCATTAGATTTTCCACCAACACCTCTCATTTTCATCCCCTCTGTTTATGCAATAAAACAAGCTTACTGATTACCATCCATAAATATGTTCTATATTAATTTTAAATATCCTAAATATCATGACAGTCTATATTTCCATACTATGTAATAAAAATACTGGCGATCTGAATGACATCATGACTATCACAAAATATTAAAGTCAATATCTCAAGATAATAGTGATTTCCTGAATTATTAAAGCAGGAGTGTTGTCACCTGCGCATGCACAAGAATTGAATCCCAAGCGATGATAACAACACACACTAAGAACGCAAAGGCTCATAGGTAGACATTTGTTTGTATTAAAACAATGACACGCTATGGCCATCTGACGCATAATTGGAATATTTCAAAAATGTTCAGATGTCGACTAAAACACAAATGTGATAATAAATTCTGCATATATAAAAGACCTTATTTCAAATTCTCCCAACCTCCTTATGCACAGAAAATGTCTAGTAGCATAATCAGATAGTAAAATAGTCACTGTTTGAATTAGTTATGTTACCACTACATCTACAAACAGTAAATATAGTGATAAGTTCGAAAATAAATAATTCTTAATCACAATAGGGTAAACTAACGGTAAGCGATCATGCATGTCGATCGGTAATGCCAATGAGCCAAAAGCCCTATGATGTCTTGAATACATACTCCCAAATTACAATCTCAGCATTAGCTTTTAGAAGGTGTGAAATGGATACATGGGATAGATATCACATTTGTTACCCTACAATATCAGTTTTCTTAAACTTGTGTAGTGATTTGCATCTGTTACTCGCCAAAAGAAAAAGGAAAATTACTACGCTCGTTTGATAAATCTGATATTCTAGGGTCACTTAC